TGCTCTCTGAATCTCTCTATATGAATAGCCACATATAGTCCAGAGTAACGATATAGTCCACGCATCCTTTTTTGTTCAATAGCGCGCACGCACACACACTCTCTCTCTCTCTCTCTCTCTCTCTCTCTCTCTCTCTCTCTCTCTCTCTCTCTCTCTCTCTCTCTGTGACATGCTCTCTGAATCTCTCTATATGAATAGCCACATATAGTCCAGAGTAACGATATAGTCCACGCATCCTTTTTTGTTCAATAGCGCGCACGCACACGCACACACACACACACACACACACACACACACACACACACACACACACAGAGAGAGAAAGAGAGAGAGAGAGAAAGAGAGAGTATTGCTTGTAGTGGGCCAAATCACAAACACTTGGATGGAATGTAACAAGAGTCTGCAGCATGCGGATAGGCAACCTGAATGGCAATGGATGAGAGAGAGAGAGAGAGAGAGAACACATCCCATGATTGGATTGTATGCAAGTTAAAGAGTGCCCATGTGTGAGGTTGCATGCACAAGAGAGAGAGAGCAAGCTGGGGGCACGAGGCAGGCGGACAGACACACAAAAACCCGTACGTCCCAAAAGGGCAATTGCTAGATCGCAGCCATGCTCACAACCATGCATGGCACTTACTCATAGCAAAGTTGCCCACTAGTTTGCAACCAAGTTAGTGACCACGTAGGTTGCACATGAGTGCCGGCCCAGCATGCTGCTGGTTAACCTGTGCCGGGCCTGACCCCTCTGGGCTGTACTTAATTGAATGTAGTAGCGGAGAGGTCTGGGGACTGGATTGAAAAAAAGAAATGCAGGAGAACGCGGCCCTAAAAGAATCCCCAAAGCACCACAGAACACCTCCCCAATAACTTTGCTCACCCATTGGATGGGGGTACTGTGCTTCACTACAGGTGGTCAGGAAAAGGCCGTGCGCCGGCGGATAGTCACGATTCGTAGGCATTCCTAAAATATTGCGATGGGGGTCTGTGCCCCACTACAGGTGGTCAGGAAAGGGCCGTGCGCCGGCGGATAGTCGTGATTCGTAGGCATTCCTAAAATATTGCAACGAGTCACAGATCACAACACATCTTCAGTGCGGTCCGTCAGTTGTCCTTGAATTACGTGTATTTTCGGGGAGGATGACATCCATGGACGAAGCCACGGAGCAGATCAGGGCCACCTCGCAAGCTCTTGTCATTACGGCATTGTAGCTTATGCCTTCTTTTATTCCCTCCAGCACAGGTGCTCCCATTGACACTTCCTTATTGCTACTAGCTCCACCTTCTTGCATCTACAGTCTATTCTCGACAACCAGGTGTCACGAGCTAGTTTTATATCTCTGGAGTGCCTTCTGCAAGACTGTGATCGAGCCGCAGCCTTAACAGAAGTTTGTGGCCAGGTCTCAGAAGAGGGGCCCTAAGGGGATACAGCATCATGCCCTCACCATGTAGTTTGGTCTGGGATCCTGCAGTCAGGGTCCCGACCAGGCCCTACCTGAACAGGTAGGGGCTGGGGCTGGTTGGCGATCCCTACTGGAGGCATGGCCAGACAGAACAAAGCAAGGCCGGGGCAGGGTGAAGTACATCGGCCCGTTTGCAGTATCATGCAGCAGCGCTAAACCAGCGTGCAGCCGCCCGTACAATCAGAGGAAGGCCGCTTGCAAGCTGCTTGGCAAGCGAATGCCAAAGCAGATTGGCTTCGCCACACAAGGGCGCGGTCACAAGAGTTCGGTGTAGACCAGGAGAGGAGAG